AAAAAAAAAAAAAAAAAAAAAAAAAAAAAAAAAAAAAAAAAAAAATAAATAAATAAATAAATAAATAAAAAGGAGACAATTAATAAAAAGGAGACAGTTAAAAGGAGACAGGGAGAAGGAGACAAATAAGAGGGGACAGTTAAGAGGAGACAGGGAAAAGGAGACAGTTAATAAAAAGGAGACACTTAATAAAAAGGAGACTGTTAAAAGGGGACAGGGAAAAGGAGACAGTTAATAAAAAGGAGACAGTTAATAAAAAGGAGACAGTCAATAAAAAGGAGACAGTTAAAAAAAAGGAGACAGTTAATAAAAAGGAGACAGTTAATAAAAAGGAGACAAAAAATAACAGATGCCATTAACCCCTCCCCCCTCAAAAGAATATAGAAGCAACAAAACCCTAAACCCTACGGTAAACCCTAAACCCTAAACCCTAAACCCTAAACCCTAAACCCTAATTCTTACGCGTCTTGGTAGAGCAAAGAAGACCGCATGCGGTTGTAACTTCCATCGATGACGTAACAATTGTAAACGAGACTACAAAAGGAGACAAAAAGAGACAAAAGGAGACAATAAAGGAGACAAAAGGAGACACTAAAGGAGACAATAAAGGAGACAATAAAGGAGACAATAAAGGAGACAATAAAGGAGACAATAAAGGATACAATAAAGGAGAGATAAAGGAGTTAGGGTTTAGGGTTTACCATAACGAGCTTAACATCCCTCATTCTATCGAATTGTAGGACGAATGCCTACAACTAATTAGGGTTTAGGGTTTAGGGTTTAGGGTTTAGGGTTTACCATAACAAGCTTAACATCCCTCATTCTATCGAATTGTAGGAAGAATGCTGTCTCCTTCCATCCTTTTAATTGCATGCGTTTTATTGCTGCAGGAAATATTTTTAATTGACGGAGTAAACCCTTAAATTCTCCTTCTGTTACATCAGGTTGCCATCCGTACGTAAATACCTATACATAAACCCTAAACCCTAAACCCTAAACCCTAATTCTGCGAAAAAAGCAACCCGTAAGACGCGGTAAAAGAGGAGATATCGTTATATTACTACTAGGGTTTAGGGTTTATTAGGGTTTAGGGTTTAGTAGGATGACAACCTATGCCCTCTGTACACAAGACAACCCTAAACCCTAAACCCTAAACCCTAAACCCTAATTCGTACCTGGAACTTGCGGAGAACTGTTAGATAATCTAAATCTTCATGAGACACAAAGAGCGCGGCTCGACCTACACACAAACCGCAAACCCTAAACCCTAGAAACCCTAAACCCTAGTAACCCTAAACCCTAAACCCTAAACCCTTAAACGTACATTCCTTTATCACAGTAACATCAGTGTTTTGTGTAGGGTTAGGGTTTTAGACTTTGCTGTCTATAGCTAGGGTTTAGGGTTTGGGGATCGTGCAATTAGGGTTTAGGGTTTAGGGTTTAGGGTTTACTGGCATATAAGAAGGAGCAACCAAATAGATCAGGATAAGCAGGATGATTAGGGACAGGGAATTCCTGCAGTTGCTGCAGCAGCAGCAGCGCGTCCTTTTCGCTGCGGCAGCAGCAGAAGCAAAGTTGCTGCTGCTCTCCTCTACGTCCATAAGAAAATACTATGTCTTCTGTCTCCTATTAGCAGCAAACATACAACACGTGCAATAGATAGCTAGCTAGCTAGCTAGCTAGCTATCTACCTAGCTAGCTAGCTAGCTATCTACCTACCTACCTAGCTAGCTAGCTAGCTAGCTAGCTATCTAGCTAGCTAGCTAGCTAGCTAGATGGAGGGAGAGAGGTATATAGCTAGCTAGCTAGCCAGATAGTGTCTCCTTTAGGGTTAGGAGACACTGAATAAGGGGACAATAAATAAGGAGAGAGGGAGGAGGAGAAAAATATAAATAAAAAAGAGAAAAATATAAATAAATGTGTCTCCTTTTTATGCATAATTGTCTCCTTACTAGGGAAACACCAAAAGAAAGACGTAAAAGTTGTTGGATATCTCTTCCTCGCCAATCAGGAGGGACAGGTTGGATTGTTATTACCCTAAGGAAATAAATATATAAATAAATATATAAATAAATAAATAAATAAATGGATAAATAAATATATATATATATATATATATT